TTCTTTATTATTTCATTCTCCTAGGAGGCTTCTGATCTATGAATTTTCCTAGGAAACCCTACTTGTTATTGCTGTCATCCATTTCAACCTACACATAATAGACCTATGCACATGCACAATATGACATTTCCATAAATTTCTAATCGATGCCATAGTTCAGGTGTCTGAGGCCGTTTTAAACACACCGATTGCATCGGTGTCAATGTACTGGTGCAGTTATCGGTACAGCAGCAAAAATATCGTTCATTATCACCCATATACAGTTCGATACCCTTAAGGAAAGGACCTTGTTGAACATTATTATATGCTACAACAAGCGCTGGTGCTTTCACTTATGTATATTGGCATATTAAATTAGCATTCTCCAGGGGATGTTAGCTTTAACGAGTGATTTCAATTAAAATTGTTATTATTCAATAACTTTATCTAGTAAAAGTCGATTGTAATATTCATATTTACTAGTTATGTTTTGTCAAAATCGAATAACACAAAGACATATTACTAATCATGCACAGGATAAAAGTCAAAAGTCATACATCAATACGATCCAGGGTTTAAGAGTGACGGATTTTTTAATTTTAGGAATTAATATATGTTTCTTAAATATTGTCTCCTTTTTGGTGGACAATAATAGTCATGTTATTTTATCATTAAACACGTGATTTTTGTCACATGTCTGCCGAAAGTTTATCCCTCCATAGAAGAGACACGAATGTTCGAACATCCGGAATGTATGTAACGAAATAGTATATTGCGTATCAAGGAAAGGAAGTGGGCTGTCCGAAATTGTCTAGTTTCGGCCCGTTGTGCGTTTTCGTCTCTCTTTAAATGTAGTTATTTTGACTTCGTATAGAGAGACAAATGTTCCAACTTTCGGCAGAGGCCCGAGCAAAAATAAAAATAATTATAACATCACCGGATCGCCTTCAAATATCTGGAATGACCCACATTACCACCGAAATAGTTCCTACCAATTAGACGAAAATTTAAATTCTAAAATTATAGTCAAAAAGTACCCTTTGAAACCCTAAAACAGCTCTAAACTAGCAGCACATTAAAAAAGATCCAAAAGAGCCCTCAAACAGCGCCTCGCCAAAAAACATACTATTATAGCACCAAAACAGCATCATCCCTTTAGTGCTGTTTCGGTGCTTTTTTAGTATCAATGCGTCGATCTTTCGGTGGTATTTCAGTAGCTTTCTGGAAAGCAATCGGTGCTGTATCCGCGTGTTCTTTTCGTACCAAATGCGGTACTGTTTCAGTACTCCATTCGTACACAATCGGCGGTTTAGTCCTGCGAACGGACCTATTCCAGTAATATTTTAGAGAAATTTATAGAGCTAATTTGGCCGTAATTCGATAGAGTAAAATTGAAAAGAATAATATTTACCCGGGGATATAACGAAAAACAGGATACGCACCTCAGAGTAGTCTACATCCGACACGCGGTGTAGAACCTACTATTTATACTCATATTACCCTGGATCGCTCTCAGTAGAACTTTAATGTTGTAGAGTTGGTACCCCATCTAAAATTTATCATACGTGTATTATATTAGAGTCCATATCGATCGTTCTTAGGAAAGTTCGTAAAACTTGAACATTAGAAGCAAGCTGCTAATAGACTTAGTACGTAATCATCCATTAATACTTCCAAAGATGCCCCATAAATGTGAAATGTATTTCCCATTTTTTCTTTCAATTAATTGTAAATCAATTCAAGTTTTGTATAACTTATGTAATTTATATCTTATAACTGTTCCAGATTCCTCTATAGGAGAAACCCTTACACAGTGCTGCCGAAAGTATCTCAACTTTCTAAAATTATTTAATCCTATTGTTATTGCATATAAAATCGCTTCACTATCGCCAAAATTTGACTCCTTCACCTAGTTCCTACCGGAGAAGTTGTAATAAAAGCAGGTGTTACTACTAAAATTACGAAAAATCTGGCAATTTCAAAGAGGAATGACTATTCCTTGTTCCGCCAAACTATCAGCATTTTGCAGAGCTCGCGAAAGTAGCAAAGTTTCAGTAGTTGTGCAAGTCGTTTAACTTACAAGGATACTAACACGACCATACTGCTGCCTCACATTTCTGTGAGACTAGTAGTATTTAAGTAATCTCCTGCGACAAAATGCTCTATTTAAGAGCATAATGCAGTGCCGATTATGTTTACATGCTACATATACTTAGTGTATTACAACCGAAAACAAAAATTAAAAACGTGTTAAAATTGATTGTTTTGGCCCATACTGTGAAGGTTTTTTACAAATAAACAATCATTTAGTAAACAATAGCAAAACGAGAAATGTTGTCACTATTATTTTCCGTTTTTAATTAAAAATACGAGGTCTATTCAAAAAGTAACGCAAATTTTGAATTTTCGCGTATTACGAATGTTCGATTTTTTGTGGCGTTATGTTGGTACTCATGTCTTTCACTTATACCGACAAGTTCAGTCATGTTGAATGTGCAGTTAATTTTTGACAGCTGCTTTGCTTGCACGTGAAGTGTTTTGACTCGTCTTTAATTTTGCAGACCATAACATTGATGAAGTGAAGAAGATAGTATTGACCGATCATCAAACCACCGTTAGAGAAGTTTCTGAGGACCCAAACATATCGATTGGCTCTTACTATTCGATTTTTACCAATGATTTAGACATGAGACGGGTCTCCGCGAAATTCGTACCAAAATTGCTCAATTTCGATCAAAAACAGCATCGCATTAACATTGCTAAGGAGCAGTTGGGATCTGTCCGCGACGACCCAAATTTCTCCAGATGATCATACCTGGTGACAAATCATGGGTTTATGGTTATGACGTGGAAACCAAAGCTCACTCATCACAATGAAAGCCGTCGTACGAGCCAAGACCGAAAAAAGCGCGCAAAGTTAGGTTATGTACAATTTGCGCGAAGCAATCCGCCAGAAACGCCTGGATTGGTGGAAAAACAAAAATTGGCTTTTGGGCCATGATCACGCCCCTGCGCACAAATCGTTGCTTGTGAGCGAATTTTTGGCCAAAAGCAACACATTAATAATACCGCAGCCACCGTATTCCCCAGATCTGCCCCCCTGTGACTTTTTCTTACTCCCGAAACTGAAGAGGCCCATAAAAGGTTGACGCTACGTTACGATTGATGAGATAAAGACGGCATCGAAAGAGGAGCTCAACAAGATCACAAAAAATTATTTTTTGAAGTGTTTAGAGGATTGGAAAAATTGATTGGCACATGTGTATAATATCTGGTGGAAATTACTTTGAAAGGGACAAAGTAGATATTCATGAATAGATAAATAATTTTTGAAGAAACACAAAATTCACGATACTTTTTGAACACACCTCGTAGTCAACCATTTGACTTGTTGAGCGTGTTAATTATTTATTGTCCTTAAATCATTGTTTTAATTATTTTAAACAAATTGCATTTATCTATTAATATAAACATTTTAACTAACTATTTGTGAGTTAAAATTCGCTCTCAACATAATATTCAATTAATTATATTCCAAATGGAATATAAAAATCGCTTGTAATATACGAGGGTGGATTGATAAGTTTCCGGCCTGACCAAGAAAAACAAGGTTTTTAAAAATTTTTTTTTTTTATTTCTCAACATAATCTCCTCCAAGGCTGATACATTTCTCATAGCGGTGTTCCAGTCTATTAATGCCATCTCTATAGACTGATTCGTCAAGCTCCTCAAAATAACCATTTACAGCTTCGATTACTTCTTCATTGTCCGCAAATCTCTTACCGCCAAGCCATTTTTTGAGATTAGGGAACAGAAAATAGTCACTCGGGGCTAGGTCTGGAGAGTAAGGAGGGTGCGGCATCAATTCAAACTTTAGATCGTTGATTTTAGCCGTCGCAACGATTGACGTGTGCGCTGGTGCGTTATCGTGATGAAACAAGATTTTTTTCTTCGCCAGATGAGGTCGTTTAATTTTCACCTCGTGGCTCAAACGTTGCAATAAGTCTGCGTAGTATTGACCAGTGATAGTATTACCCTTTGCAAGGTAATCAATGTATATAATACCTCTTGCATCCCAAAAAACAGTAGCCATAACCTTGTTCGCCGAAAAAATTGTTTTTGCCTTCTTTGGAGTTGGTTCCCCTGGTCCAATCCACTGTTTAGACTGTTCTTTGGTTTCAGGAGTGTAGTGGTGGACCCACGTTTCGTCAACGGTTACGAATCGACGCAAAAATTCGCTTGGATTACGCTTATACAATGACAAATTTGCGGTAGAAATGTTTTTTCGAATCAATTTTTGGTCGACTGTTAGCAAACGCGGCACCCATCTTGCACAGAGCTTTTCCATATGCAAATGTTGGTGCAAAATATGTTGCACACGTTCATATGACATCTTACAGGTCTCAGCTATCTCACGCACTTTCAATCTGCGGTCTCCCAGCACTATTTGATGAATTTTTTCGATCATATCTGGAGTTGTGACCTCAACGGGGCGTCCTGAGCGAGGCCCATCAGAGGTGCTCACACGACCCTTTTTAAACTCGGAAACCCACTGCTTAACGGTTGAATATGACGGGGAGGATGTCCCCAGTGTTGAGTCCATCTCTTTTTTAATTTCCTTCGGCGTTAACCCCTTCAAATAAAAGTATTTGATGACAGCACGATTTTCCTGCTTTTCCATTTTTACGAAAACCACAGAGGCGTCTTGTTCAGCGTGCTGTCAAACCTACACTAGCAAGGAGATCGGGCTGAAACTATAGCTACAAGCTATCCAAGGATGGTACTATAGAATGTCACCTCAAGGTAGGCCTAGTGGCGTCATCTCTTGGTTAGGCCGGAAACTTATCAATCCACCCTCGTATGTCATAAGCTACAACTGCGATAACTCATTGTTATGCACTCAATGGCGAGTTTAAAAATTTCTTGAAAAGCCTTATGTATAAAGGTACTCTACAAAAGCAAACCGTACTTTGAAAATAACACTCATTGATGTTTGTATAATTTATTATTCACATCCCTTTTGAATTATTTAAATTATTAATTTCCTATTTTTGTGTTACGTTACGACGGATATTCCTTTTCGAATGATTACGATCAAAAATACTCAGCTCCGATACAATTTCTTTAAGTTCGTCGGGAGCGACGAACTTCTTCATAAAAGACTTATTCCCATGTCCAGGACTTTTGTACATTTTATCTTTTTCATGTCCATTTAAACTGTACTGAAAATTTCCTTTCAGGCTACTTGTAGAACCACTTGTGGCAAGTTTTGAATAGAGCGTTCCAGAAAATATCATCTTCAAAAGTTGTGTATTTTAATTATTATTGAAGGAAATGTGGCATATTTAGTAAATACAATATTTTCAGCAAATTAACTAATAAAGGAAGTTTGTTTCGACGTAAACGATTTAATCAAAAAATCAAGAATGTTATTGCAGGTTTCATAAACTTCTCACACTGATTGAAGATAAAAAGTACGTAATGTAAAGTTTTTGTGGCAATGTTATATTTTATTTACCTTCGCTTGGGACGCTGCAGTTATAACTTTTGTATCACTCTCTCTCTTTAGAAAACTTCTAGAAGTTTTAGTGTTAAGATTAATTGTGTTCGAAACTCTTCTTAAACAATTTCCAGATAATGTTGGATTCTCGTTGCTTCCTTTCGCATTTAGAGATTTCTTCTTGTCTTTTGTATTCAAACCAACAGGTTGTGCGTACCGATGTATCGAAGAAGTCTTTAAATTTAATTCATTACCACGTCTCTTCTGTTGAATATTCTAATCGAATAGGATGACTTTTTCAATAACGTTGATAATGCAGTAGTTTAAATTTGAATACATAATTACTACAATAAAACTATTTTCGAGATATAAACCTACCATTTCTTTTGAGTTTCGGAATGAAAATCCATCTGCATTACTTCTTCCTTAAAATAGTACATATGTATTCATTACCTGGTTTTAAATACTAACGTGACGTGTATTTTACCTCTAGTTCTTGCTATATCAGTTTTCTTCTTTGTATCGACAGCTTCTGTTAGCACCTTGAGATTGGTTGAACCCTCTGCATGATTGATATCTCTCTTTCTACCCTCTCCGAAAGCTGAATATTTATTTACGAATTTATCGCTACTACTATTGCTGGTACTTGGCAAATTAACGTCATAAAAATCCCCGTGGATATTATTAACAGTAGGAACTCCTCTAGAAAATTGGTTGTTGATCCCTGTGCTTCTTATTGTGAAAGGCATCCGAAACTTGCGTGAACCCTGACCAAATGATTCAAAAATACTTTTCTCCGAACGTTTTTCGGTCCCATCCAAGTTGTTTCCAGAAAGGAATTCTGTTGGCGTCATTGCAGTAGCAGATCCAGTGTCCTTTAAAGGGTTTAACTTCAGTATTTGGCAAACGAAAACATTTCCATCTTTTTCTGTGATCGTCTTTTGTGTTTTGCTTCCGTTTTCTATTTTTGGCAATAACGTACAGTCAGGCTTTGCGTCCTGTAAGAAGGGATCCACTGCACAAGGCACAGTAGGCAATACAGACTCTATGGACACGGATTGTTGCTTCTTGCAAGTTTTTTTAATTGGAATTGGTTGTAAATCTGTAGGAGGTGTTTTATAATATTTACAATAATCATTAATTTCGGCATCACAAGGTGCAGGTTCGGCGTGTTTTGAAGTAAGCTTGGGTGTGCTGGCACTTTTACGAAAACATTTGGAGGATATGCGTTTTTGGGGAGCTTTGCACTTACAACGGAATAAGCTGGAGTACCATTTATTATAGGAAAGCAGCGCTTGACGGAAGTCGGGTGCCAGTTCTGTTTCGCAAAGGATAAACTCGTTTTCAAACGGAATTTTTAATTGTACTTGCGTTTCGGCCTGTCGGTCATAGTTTTTACGTGATCGTTTTCTCCGCTTCGGTTTTTTTTCAATATTTTTATCCCAATCAGTTACATCATCATACGAACTCAATAACATTTGCAGTTTTATTAAATTATCGAGGTCTGTATGCAAACTTTCGTCTGTAAGTCTGTTCAGGAGAGATCTAAAGTCCGTAATTTCTGTATCAATTTTCTCGACTGCTTTATAAATGACTCCGTAGAACGGAGCAAGCTTTTCAGACGCAGGAATTACATTAATAATTCGGTATGTTGTATAAGCCATCCTATTGGGAGAAGGTGATTTGGGCTGATACATTTTGAGACGTAAATATGGATATTCGTAAGGTCTCAGAAATTCTTCGAAATACGCTTTTTTAACGACCGATTTAAAGTCTATGCAATTGATTTCATTTGTCATGCTTTTCTTGTGCAACTCTACGGAATGGTCTGTGCAATCTTTGCTGCGCATCTTAAATTTAAGTAGCAATTTTGAATCCCAAAATTTACTTCCTGATAAATCCCTGTTTACCACAAATAGCTTTCCTAATTCAGTGAAATCGTGCATGCAGTGTTCGATGTCGATATTTCTTTTTCCGATTACGGTTTTACAAGTCCCGTCATACGTCACTTTAAAAAATTTGCCGTGACTGTCAAACATTTTCAAGAACGTTCTACCAGGAAGTGGAAGTTTTTCATTATAAAAAGGTGATATATCAAGATTGCATTCTGATTTACAGGGACAAAGGGGACAAGGCTTCGTCAGTATATCTATACTTTTCTCCGACATATTGATATCAATTCCTTTGCCCAACGTAACAAAGACAACGCCTGTATCGTCGAATCGTATTCTAGATTTGTTAGGATATTCAACAGTCGTTTCGTATAGGTAGCTGTTGTAGAAAACTTTAGCGTAACAAGGATGTTCGTACTCATAATTAACCACTATGAAAAGCCAACCTTCTTGGTTCTCAGAAGAGTCGTGGGTTATGTTTGTCGCAGTTGTTTCGCGTCCCAATTCCTTTTTCTCTTCGGGTGGAAAATACATTACCAAATTTTCGTCGCATATGACACGTGCTTTTATGCGAGTGCCGTCAGGAAACTGAGTAACAAAGGTACCGTCGCTGTCCAGTATGGAATGTGTTCCATCTTCTCTTTCAAAAATGATTTGTTCGGCTTTAGAGTCTACCTCACTTCCTATAAGAAACGCATCTTTTTTTATTGGCTCCTTTAGTTTCGCTTTTATCCGAACACCGGTAGACGTCACAATTTGAAAATCAAGCAAGTCGTTAACGTCGTTCTGTTCCACATAAAACAGCGGTCCTTTAAATGCTTTGCTTTCTTTTCGAAGTTGCTTTCTTTGTCTTTGGAACAAAAATCTGTTTGGACCGTCTATTAGGTGCTTTCCTTTGCGGCATATTAATTTAAAGAGTCTGCGTTTTTCGCGTCGAGTTTTCTTGTCTTTTAGCCCTAGGGGTACGTAATCGAAACGTTTAACTTTACCGTACTTATCCTTAGAAATCGGTGGTCGTAGGTTGATTTTTTCATGTTTTTGGGAGTGTGGCATTTCGAAATATACTATAGATGAATCGGCACAAAGTATTTTATAGTTGCCATCGCGCCCTTTGATAATAACCATTCCATCAACAAAAATTCTAAACTCTTCATCTAGTATAATAGAGCAAGCGGGTCCTTTATCAACGTAAAACTGCTTTATTTGAATAGAAGCGTCTCCGAAGCCAGGAATAGTTACAATCATGAGTCCTGACTTCATCGATGACTGGAACTCAAATTTATGTTTTTTGGTATCATCGGTGGTATCCGTAAGAAAAGTCGGATACCATTTGGTGATTTTCACAACTTTTCGAGCTCTCGGGAATGTCGTTTTAATAAGCAGCTTCTTTGTTGATTCTCCAACTGGTATGGTAACAGACGACTTTATCCTCTTGATATACTCGTTTCTGTGCAACATACTGGATATAATTTTAAACTTTGGATATTTCAGTTGATTCTCTATTCCTAAAAATTTAAGTATTTTATTTCTCTGCGAAGGACGCAACATCGAATTTTTCACCGCATATTTTTTGCGCTTTTTCATTTTTTGATCAGAAGCAAACGTACTGTTGGACATAACACTTGAAATGGTTGGCTTAATATCTGGTGAAAAATCAGACAATTCGAACGGATTCAAATCGACAGTTTCTTCATTTTCTATTCCATTAATCTCGTTCTGGTTGCTTCCTATTGTCTCTTCAAGAAATTCTTCTTCATCATAATGCATTTCTTCTTCAACAGTCGACTTTTCGGATTCTAATTCATCAAGTTTATAAGGAAAGTTGCTTATAATGTTTTCGTTTAATCTTTGAAGATACTGAAGAAAACATCCGATTGGCGAAGGAGGGATGACGAGTTCTTCTTTTGTTACGAACGGTATAGTTAGGGGATTTAACGGAGCGTCCTGTTCTTGAGAGAAACAATAGACATTTTTTAGTGGTGGTTTGTAAGCCGACGAAAGATGCCCTTTCTTGGTTTTGTATTCGTAGGTACACTGTCTCTCGTAAAGCGTCGCCATTGAATTTGAAAGACTTCTGGTTTTAGAAAAGCAAATGATAGTATCATCTGATAAACTAAAATGAAAACGTAACGTATTGTCATTGTCGTTACACTGATTATTGGGTAAATGCATAATAAACAAATGATGCAATAATTTGATCCTTATGGTTATTGTCTTTTCGGCGCCTATCCAGGAGGTCTTGTCCACTATAACGGTAGTGCCATCTTTACTATACAAAGTCGACGAGGAACCTGTTAACTGAACCCTTGCTGAACCCAAATCATAACCATAAAAAGCGTATGGTTTATCTGATGACGCACATTGCGGAAGCAGTACTTTTGTAGGTGCAACTGGAGGCACCTCCGGTTCTATTACTATTTCTTCCTTTTTTTTGCCCTTCTCAGATTGTTTTCCCTTAACTGAAGCAACCTCTTCTTCCAACTTCACGTTGCAAATTAAATCTTCACGTCGGTCATCTTGATTATCTTCTTGCACGGTTAAATATTCTTTTTCTTCCTTTTCTAGCCATTCCTGAATATCATGAACTACAAAACGGCAAAAATCTCGAATGCATACCGGTGTCGGTAAGCTCTGATTGAATACTTCGGTTACTGTTCCGTATTTATTAGAACTTTGGTAAAAGTAAATCAATAAGGAGTCAGTTAAAGGGACGTACCTGTACTGGATGTATGGGTACTGAGTTTGGACGGAGAAGAGTTTTTGAAGTAGAACTGCCGCTTTCAATTTCTCAGAATACTTAATTCCATATAAATCGATGTACGGAATTTTTGGAACTTTGTCCAATTTACAATCTCTTTCTGAACTCAAACTGCTTTGCTCATTATGAATTCCGTTTGAAATTGCCTTCGAGGTTTCCTCTCCTTCTATCCGAACACCCTCTTGCTGAACTTGTTCAGTAATAGATTTTGTAGGAAATCTTTGATCATAAACTTTAGTAGCCTTTTGTTGTATTTCGAGGGTACTTCTTTTCCGAATGTGGGTACTAAACAACAATAAATGAATAACATCTATCAACTTAGAAAGTGGCAAGTTCAGTTGTTGACACCACCCTTGTAAATTGCATTCGTCCATAAGCTTCTTGATATCGTTAAGATTTGTAAACCTTTGTTTCAAAAGAAGTGCAGGAAGCAAAAACGATAAAATATTAATGTTAGCATTGAATAAATCAGCAGAAACGCTTTTCCTGTAAAAGTTTGCTGCTTTTTCGATACAATTATTTTCGTGAATTTTAAACGGCATCAAAATAATTTTATTGGTACACTCCCTATCGTAATTCCTAGATTTGACTGTTGTTACCAATTCTAAATTTTCATATGAACATTGGGGCATTTTTAGAACACCTATACGTTTGGTTACGACGTTAATTAATTTTGGTTTAGACAATTTTGCTAGAAACATTTTTAGAGATAAAGGCGCCTTTTCTTTATGTTTGTCTAAAAGTACAGATTCCCTTTGGACGTCTAACTGCCACGTTTGAAATTGAGACTCATGTCTATTATGGACCTCTTCAACTAAACAATGAAGCAATAATGGTATAGTGAAGCATTCGGGTGAAACTTTCCTCATCATATTCTTATAAGTCAGTAATTGCTCTACACTAATAGCCTGTATTTGTTCTGATAGTCGATCGAGCCTCATATTTTTTATATAGTTGATATATTGTCGGATAGTAGTAGGCACCGCCTTAAGGAAACTGCTCACTGCCTCAAATATATCGAAGCATTCGTTTACAAATTCGTTCATATCGGAAGTACTTGCAAAAACTTCCCTTTCGGGATCGTACTTCATATGAAAAGTGTTTTCCACATAATCTGCTTGTGCGTCGCTTTGAAACAGTTCATAAGCTTTGTCCCAAAAGCGCTTAAATAAGGAAAAACAATCGTTATGCACAGGGGTTTCTAAAACACTTTGGTTGCTAGTACGCTTAACAAAAGATTCAGGAGCCTCTAGCTCAAAGTTGGAGAAGTTATAAAATTCTCTGAATGAAATTGAAACACTCATTTTGTTTTTTAACGAGCGCGACTCCTTCAATTTATTGACTTCATCGGAACTGTCTTGTGTTAATTGTACTGTGTTCGCGATTTTAGAAATAGACGTAAAATTATCCGCCGATGTTTCTACTTTTGTATTACTCTCTTCTTTCCTTGTAAATGTATAGTACTGGGTGAGTTCCTGAGGAAGCAAAAAATAGTTCAACATGTCATCTTGACCGTTTGAAGTAATTTCCAATAAACAGATTACAGGGACGCCGTTAGTAAATAACTGCGAAAACAATTCAGGTTCCAGAAATCCTATCAATGTTATAATCAAATGCTTGTACGGTACGTCTATAGTGTCCAAGCAAAGTTTTAAAGCATTCGGACTAGCGTTCAATAGGTTTTCTGTTGCGCAAGGTTCTTTGACTGTACTCTTTTTATTACTTTGTTTAGCAGCTTTTTCTTTTCCTTTTTTCGTTTCTTTAGAAGATGTGGAAATAGATGTTTCCTGTAGTCTTTCAGCTTCAGAAATTTTAGCTTTAAGAATTACGTTCTTCTCTAACCAAACGTCTTCTTCAATTATTTTCATTATTTGGAGCTTTATAAATAACGACATGCCAATGGGAGTAATAGATTTTTCCAGTTCACTTATACTATTGCCAGGTGTTTGTTTCGCAGCGTAATTGAACATTTGACTGATGTGGGAGTCGTCTGCGGAGGACGAAACGTTCTTTGCATTTAGAATGTATTCTAATAGCGAAGAGTATGTAACACATTTCACATTACTTTGAGGTGTAATCGAAGCACCGTAAGAAAATCTTACCAAATACTGTGTGTGTTTTGGAATTCTTTCTGCTACAAAAATTACATCACAACTTCTTCTCCTATCGACACAGTTTAAGTCTGTCGAAATTACAAAATTCTCCCAATTTTCAACCTTAGGAGCTGATTCCTTATTACGTTTGGACATAGGTAATAAGTAAATAGTTTTTAATTAATATAACCCAACAGAATAAATCTTTGCGTAGTAAAAAAGTTGACGCAAGTGACATTGGCGGTTGACAATTATTTTCTGCTTTTCTCAATTTGCACTGCTAAACATTTAATAAATAAAAACTAGCAGGTGACACAAAAATTACTTGAAATGGGTTAGGTAATGGTGACGTTAAAGAAAATAGATCGGCATATAAGTTCACATGTGTTGAAAATAGCTTACTTTTGGACCTTGACCTAGATACATGTGTATATATGATGTAATGCTTAGGTACAGCACCTGCTGATTGTGATTATTGGGGGATGATTAATACTGTACTGGCATGCACTTTTACATTCTGTCGATATCCCGTTTTTTTTTTGTTTGAGATGTTTGGTGTTTAGTTTAGAAATATGTACTAAGTAGTTGTTTTGGTTTCTTTCATAATTAGGTTAATTATAATTACATGCTTCTGTATTTAATAATTATTTCTCTGTTCCAGTTAATTATAGAAAGACTCTATCTCATGCAATGTACTTACACATCTTTGCAAGTACGTTAGGGCATGTATCGTCATCTCACGGTCAGGAACTTAAACAACTTTTATATTTTTCAGAGCATTTAGTTTTCAATATTATTATATTATATCGTAAAAATATGATAATAAAACAAAGTATATTGTTTTTGTATATTTTTGTAAGATATGTAAGTACAATTATTAAGGATTTTGGACTTCGGCATCTTGTTTTCCAAGTTGTGTTTGTGTTCCTAGACTTTCGCGTAATATTGAATGTTGAAATCCGTCTTTCTTGACATTGGGACTTAAAATTCGATTTTCGCTCAATTTTGTCTTAATCCCCATGTCAAAGTCAACTTCTTTATCAGTAATTTTTCCATACATACCTCCGACTTTCTTTACTAAATTATCACGCTGTTTATCAGTAGCGGGAGGTACAACGTGAAGTAAATCGTCAAGACTTTCAAAGTCTATAACACTTTCAGATCTTCTATTGAAATATCCTTCGTCAGTTGGAAGATGAACCTTCAAGCTACTTGTACGAACTCTGTTCTGACTTTTATGTCGACTATCGCTTGATGAACCTTTCAGTACAGTGCTGGATGAGATAAGTTGATTACTCGTCGGCTTATATTCAACGAAGGTCTGGTAAACAATTGGTTAGGTTAGGTTAGGTTAGGTTAGGTTAGGTTAGGATAGGCTAGGTTAGGTTAGGTTAGGTTACGTTAGGTTAGGTTAGGAAATTATGATCATGTAGTGATTCGTACTGCCATATATCACAACAGACAAATAAAGAGTACCTAACGTATGTCATGTAGCATATAAGGTTAGTGATGACTTACTTTTACCTTATTTAACTGCAATAGGTATTACCTTAGACATATGTGCGTCAATTTCATCCAAAATGGGATAGTTATCAATTTTTTCTTCCTCTTCTTCACCTGTCACTTCTTCACCCGCTAGTATCATTTGAAGAATACTAGGTGATTTACCTAACACTTTAGTTAGGGGTATTTTGTTTGTCCTATAATCTCGCTGAGGTTTATCTTTGAAAATAGAACTGAGTGGTTTCAAGTCTTCGAACTGTGACGAGTCTGTATCAATTACCAATCTTCCTAACAGTGATTTATCGTGAAAAAGCTTCAGACTTGGAGATATTCCCACTTGAACACCCGAGTAAATTTTGTTCAGTAGAATCCTGCTTTCTCTCTAGCAATTGCGATATTAGTTTAAATATAAAAAAAACGATCATTTTTAATTGTTTAATGTTCTGGCGCCTTCGCCAAATACACTGATCAGTTCAACGTAATCGTTTCTAGATCTCTCAGTAAATTCAACGTTAAATGGACTAAATACAGAATATACCTAGCGTAAAATATCTAGCTCATTACCTTTAGGTAGATGTTTTAGAATGCCTAATAGGTACGCCTAGTAAATATCTCTAGAACTATCCACATACACAGTTGCCATGATGTAGTTGAAAAGTTGACTAATTTGCTTTCAAATCAAATAATATATTAATGAAACGGATTTCTGGCTTGAATCTTGGTGAAACATGCTTAAATAGTAAAACAAACACTTGATAAAATTTGTTTTATAACTTTATTTGAAATTCTGACAATATTATTTCGGTTGCGCAATAGGAATACGTAAAAAATTAACTAACTGTAACTCGAAATGTCCCGATCGTAGAAGAAAAAGTATTGTGTCGGCCGGGAATACAATCTGCGCCGTCCCGGTTGCTGGCGTTAAGACGAGCCTTAATACTGAGGCATCGATATTGTTATGCGTGAATATTCATCTTACACATACAAAAGTAAGTTCCCTAGACAAAAATTTCCAGTCTCTCAGAGTCTTTCAGCGTCTCTGAGAGCATCTCTCACAGTCTCTCAGTTATTGTCTAGGTGTTTTTATGGATCTCTCACAGTCTGTGTATGAGAGACTCGAACGATAAAATTGTTAATTCATAGATTCGAGTCTCTCACAGAGAGACTGAATGAATAAAACTGAAACATTGAGAGACTCGAGTCTCTCGTGGAAAGACTGGGATCTCTGAAATATGTTGAACTTTTAACTTTTAACCATGTCTATCTAGACACCACTTATTGAGAGATTCGAGTCTCTCGTTCAGAGATTGGATACGAAATGAGGATCTCTCTATGAGCGACTCGAGTCTCTCGTTCAGAGACTCTAAACAGTCTCTCGACAGTTTGACAGAGTGACTCGATGAGAAATGGAAACTCGAGTCTCGCTTTCAGAGACTCTGAGAGACTGAACATTTTTATCTCTGGTTTCTTTTTTTTTTAATTTTTGCATACTTTTTTAACTCAGATATATTCCTAGGGATGGTACATCTACTCATCAAATGTTCATTTCAATAGAATGAATTTAAAAAAAAAAATCGGTTGTCTGTAAAGTCGGTTTACTGACGATAGTTGAACGTGACAACGTCATAAGAAAATACTGATGGAATGGTTTCATTTTTCAAAAGAAAATTTTAATTTTATTTGTTTGATAGATATTTTGTATGGATATAGAGAAGGAGGTAAATGGAAATGTATTATTGTATAGCAGCTGTCCACGCGGACGCATCGCTCACTCAAGTAGGAGAGAGACAGATGTCGAACGCTGCCGAACGCGGAGGCCGATTGTGCCTCTTTGTCGCTCGTTCCGCGCTCTCGCTTGCACTTCAAGCCTTAAATGGAACGCCTCAGAGCGAGGTAACGCCGCATGAGTCATGTTTTTTCGTGCGTGCAGCCGGCTCCATCGAATTATAAGACGTTGTCACGTCAAAAAAGTAGGCGATAGTAAGAAAAAACGTTTTGCAGTAGAAAACGACTACAACTGTATGAATAAGGTAATAAACATTTTAAATATACTTACTTCTGCCGATACATCATCTGTAGACGTGATGCTTGTCCGCAATATATTCATGTAATAGTAATCTGCAATAAAATAAAATAAATTAATGTCCATAAGGATGTACAAGTTTACTGTGTTCTCAGTTTAATGCAGAGGTTTGTAAGTAAAGAATATACTTTGTTATACACCTAAACGACATGTCCGTAATGGCCGCAACCATGCGTGTGCCATTGTCATTAAGAGGGGCAAGTAAGGCAACACGCATATCATCATCATAAGGTCGTCAGTCCTAAGACTGGTTGGACACGTACCTCCACTCCTTCCTATCCTGAGCTAAACTTCGCATTTCCCTAAAACTAGAAGAGCCCACATCCTTAACTATTTGCGAACAGTAATCAAACCTAGGTCTACCTCTACCCCTCCTAACTCCTGTTTCTGCCTCTAATATGTCTCTGACTAGACCTTCATGCCTAAGAAGGTGTCCTACCAACCTATCCCGCCTATTTTTTATTGACTTCCATAGAGTCCTCTGTTCTCCTATTCTTTTCAATACCTCTTCATTTCTAACCTTTTCTGCCCACGATATCCTCATCATCCGCCTATAACAACACATTTCGAACGCTTCTAACCTTTTCTTTTCCGCCGCGCCTACTGTCCATGTTTCGCACCCGTACAATGCCGTGCTCCAAACATACACCTTTAACAACCTTTTTCGAATTTCTCTATTAACCGTTAGCGAGCATAGAAGTGACTTCTTTTTATTAAAGGCGACACGACCCTGCGCTATCCTCTGCTTTATATCCCTACTACTCTTTCCATCCTCAACACGCATAAACAGAAATATATATTTAAGACGGGGAAATCGACTAGTTAGTTTATAATAAAATACCTTTATAATCTGGAACGGCTCCTTCTGTTGTGGACGCAGATTCATACGTTACTTGTTTTATGGACTCGTAACGATCCCTTGTACTTTTTTGCAAGTCTTTAGTCCAATCGTCAACTGAAGATTGTTTAAAATCTAATAATGATTTAAATTCTTCATCGATCGTACTGAGAAACATATCAAGTTCAGCTTCATTCATATTCAGTTTACCAATTTCCATCAATATTTCTTGCAAAAAGGATGCCTTTGAATAGGATAAATGAACGTCTTCTTTCATATTCACTCGCTCTGACAGGAATGTGGTTATGATTTTTGGTATTTTGGATGACCTTAGAAAAAAGTATTTGTCTGGATTCTTTGGATCAGTGTTTAGTAGCTCCCTTCTTTCATCTTCGATTGCTTTCTTCAACGCTGCCACCATTTCACGTGCCACTACGTTATCGTCAAGTTTTTCCTCATTCGATGAAATTGACGTTTGTTTGTCACATGTTTTGTTAATTTTAATTAAATGACTCACATCGCAAACATCCTGTACAAAACACGGTCGTAGATTTTCGATAGACGATTTTTCCTCCTGTTTATTCTCAGGGACCGTCTTCGAATCATTACAGGCAGACAACGGAAACTTCGGAGGGTCGGTAGTAAGCATGTTACAAATAACAACTTGCTGATTATTCCTTGTTCTGTAATTACACTTGTTTCTAGGACTACCGGACTTCTGCTTAACGCACGGCTTCGTCTTCAAAAGAGACGACTCAGATTTATATTTATTCGTGCTTACGTTTAGTTGAGGGGTTTTCAAAATTTCCGACTTAGACTTTTTCGCAACTTTAGGTAAACTCTTGAAAGGTGACTTAAGATCGACGTCAAAATTTTGTTTAACATTTGCCTTTGTATTAATCTCATAGACAGTCCTGACTTCTTCTTCTCTGAAGTATTTAGCCAGTAGCTTTGTTTGTCTCGGTTTACACGGTTTTGGCGGAGGTGGATATGGGCAATTCTTGTAATGGAAATATCCAGGAGCAGTCATATTTCTTATTTTTGCCCAATAAGTCATGTAGCGAAAATGCCACACGAACCATTTTTCATAGAGGGAAGTCGCGTTAATAAAATATTTTCGATAGTCGTCATCATACTTCTCAATATCTGGATCAAGTGGAGTGTTGAAGTTCAATTCTTCAATCTTTTGTTTTGATGTAAATTTCTTTATTGTTTTAAATCGATTAAATAAAGTTGCTTCTTTTGAAATTTTAACTTTTTCTTCTCCCTTTTTCTTCATTCCATCTTCTACAATACGTTTCACGTCTTCCAAGTCTGCTACGTTGTCTTGAAAGCTCATCATTCTAAGTCTTAAGAGAACAAATTTAAGGCACGGATCTTGCTCATAAAATTGGTCAATTACACTTTCGATTGTCGAATATAGCGGTTCGATTATTTGTAATGGGGGTAAAACGTTAACAGTCCGGTAAGTTGTGTATGCAAATGTTTCATAATTCGATTGAGGAGGACGGTCCTTCGTTAGCCACATTCGGGGTGTCGCATATGGTCTTAGAAACCTATCCATGTAGTTTTCCTTCATTTGTGTGAAAAACCTTAAACATCGAATGCCGTTATTCTTATGATCATTGTATATCATCATTTTCCTGTCTGAGTTACTGTTCACCTTGTATCTCATTAACAACTTGGAATCCCAAAACTTGCAACCTGTCAAATTTTGTTTCAGAACAAACATTTTTTCCTTCTCGGTAAAATCGTGATCGCAGTGCAACACATTCTTTGCAGTTTCAACTTTTCCAAATATTTTCATGTAATCTGCGTCAAATTTCACTATAAACTTTTTCCCATGACTGTCAAGTAAACGAATAATTTCTTGGCCGTTATTAAAATTTGTTGAATAGTACAATGGCTTGACATTCATGGTACAAACACATTCACAAGAACACTGCTCACATGGCTTGGAACGAATTTGGAAACTTTTGTTGGAAAATTCGGTCTTTACCTTACTGTTTATATTGACCGAAAATTTTCCAAACTTATCACAGTGAATTTGCACGCTATTTGGAAGTTCGATCGTTGTGCTGCTATCAGAATTAGTGTAAGTTACTTTGGCATAGCAAGGATGTTCATACTCATACTTTAGACTAAGAAGGACCCATCCGGTGTTCTTTTTTACAGTTACGTTTTCCTTTATGTTGCCAGAATTCCTTGGGTGACATTCAACTACGGGGGGTGGTAAACATTCTTCGTCATCAGAAGCACTGACTAATTGATCTTCAACAATTACGGTGGTTTTTATCCGTGTGCCATCTGGAAATTGTGTTGTAAGGACTGTATCTCTATTTAAAAAGGCAATCATGCCATCTTCTCGTTCCAGTATCGTTTCTTCAGTATTGTAATCAGTTTCGCGAAATGAGTGGAACTTTCTGCACTTAAAAATCTTATTCGATTTTGCCTTGATTTGTTTACCATCTGGAGTCAAAATTTTAAAATCCGTAAAAGATTCCGCTTCGTCATGGACGAAATAAAATTTATTCTGTTCTATTTTGTGCTTTTCACTTCTAGCCAAAACCCTTCTGCTTCTGTAAAGTCGACTCTCAAAGCTATCAATGAGATGTTTCTGTCTTCGCAAAATTGATTTGTATATTAATTTTTGCATTTTTGATAAGCTCCGCGTGCAAGAGTGTAAAGGGATTCGATAATTTTTACATGAAGGTTGCTTATTTCTTCTGGGGAAAAACCGGATATTTTCCCGTTTCTTAAAATAAGGTACCTCAAAATCTGTCATTGTACCACTAACATGCAATACGATGAAATTCCCATCACATTTCTTTATAATTACGTTACCTTCGTGAAATATTCTGTATTCTTCATTAATAACGCTTCTACATAATGAACCTTTGTCAATATAATTCTGCTTTATTTGAAACGGGGCTTGGTCGAAACCAGGAATAGTGCTTACCATAAGCCCCGACAAGAGAGACAGTTTCATTTCATATTGACTTTTAATGCTTTTACCATTACCATTTTCTGACATAACAATAGGATAACATTTTGAAACTTCAATTGTAGCTCTAGGCCTAGGACATGGAGAACTCAGAAGAACTCGTCGAGCAGCACTAATTGTTGGAATTTGAATATAAGACTTCACCCTTTTAACATATTCATATTTATGCAATGGGCTTGAACATATTCTGAACATGGGATAGTTTTTTTCACTGGCTATTTTTATCTTCTCTAAAAACTGATTATTCCTTAACCGCTTGGGAAAAATCATCTGTTCATCATTTACAGGCCTTTTTAGTAATTCAGTTGCTTTTTTCTCTTCTTCTTCCTCTTCTTCGGGAGCTTCTAATGGTACAGAACTGATGACGGGTTCGACAACTTTTAAGTGAGGAGTGTTTAACCTTTCAAATTTTCTACAAACATCCGAAATTTCTATGTCTTCCTCTTGTTCTTCTTCCTGCACTTGGAAGTTTACGAGTTCTTCCTCAATATTTGTAGTAGTTTCTTCTGCCTTATATTCTTCTTCGTCGATTTTGTTTGTTGATAATTCATCTGGAATTATTTTATGCTTGATTTTCATGGAGCGAAGTTGATCGATAAAAGGCTTTACAGACGATTCTGTCATTAACATATTCCTTTCCATTATTATGGGTATATTGATTGCTTTGGTAATAAGGTTAAATTTTTCTGAAATGCAGTAAATATTTTGACGTGGCTTTTTAATTCCATTTTTCTTTTCTTCGGCAATGCTTCGATAAATTCTTTCGCACAACGCTGTTTGCACGTTTACTTTCTCCTCAGGTTTCTGGAATGCTACGACAGTATGATCTGATAAGTACATGTGAAAAAGTATCGGATGGGTTGTATAATTTTCTCCTATGTGTAAAACCAGTAAATGGCCTAAAGCGTTTATTTTTATCGAAGTGTTCTTGTTCCCCCCTAGCCATCTGGTTTGATCGATGATTACTTTAAGTCCATCTTCACTCTTCAACGTAGTTACAGATCCAGTTAACTGAACTCTAGTTTTTGCTAAATCGTAACCTATAAAATCTGATGGTTCATCTGGATACGCCGTTCGTACTGATAACCTTGAAACAGGTGGAGGGGGTGGTCGCATCGCCTCCAATTGCTTAAAATATGGAAGAAGGTTATCCTTACCACCTTTTCCGCCTTTGCCGCCTTTCCCTCCTTTACCACCTTTACCTCCTTTACTACTGCCCTTATCTCCTTTACCACCTTTGCTACTACCTTTACCACTTTTCTTATCGGTTTTCGTTTCTGTTTGTGATATTAAAAGCGCTTCCTTGAGAGATCCTGGCTGAATATACTCCAAGGTGGTTAGATCGCTGGGAGGTTCGTATATCGGTGGTTTCTGTTCCCTCAAAAGCCGTTGTTTTGTCAACTCGTTTTGAAAAGCAGTCTCTTTATCAGTTACCCATTTCGTGTCTTCATGCGTTATAAACCTACAAAATTCCCTTATGCAGATAGGGGTTCGAATAGACTGATCAAATACTTGCGTGCAAGAGCCAATACTATCGAAGTTATCGTGAAAATGTAGTACCAATGAATCGGTTAAGTGTATGTATTCTTGATCCATACATTGAAATTCATTACATGCCTCCATTATTTGTTGGAGAATCACGGAATTGCTGTTATACTCAAGATATTTTATATCGAAAAGGTTACTGTCTATTATTTTTTGGCTTGCGCTTGACTTTTGGCTTTTCTTGATTTTTGGCTTGCGCTTGATTTTTGACTTGCGCTTGATTTTTGACTTTCATCAATAGCATCTCCAGCTCCAGCTTCCTCTTCTTTAATGGAATGTTTTGAAGGCTTTAAACAAATCTTTTGAGAGTCCAAGTATTCTTCATTTGTCTTTTTGGGAAACTTCATTTGAAAATCTAAGAGGCACTTATCTGTAATTCCACGTTCCTCTTTTACCTGCTTGTTCCTAATAAATATCCACATGTTGATTATACTGGCTAAATCAGCCACAGAAATTCCTAATTCCTTACTCCAAATACCTATACAATTTTCATATTCCTCTTTCTTCTCATTTATGACTTTATTTAGAAGAGTAACTGGCTGCAACGTAACCAGTGGTTTCATGTTAATATCGAATAAATTTCGCGCTAATTTTTTATTATAACTATTAATCATAACCTCTAAGGTGTTATCTTCGTGAATCCTAAATGGCCTTACATTTAACTCTATTGTTGTTTTTGGGAAGAAATTCTCATAATTAACTGATACCTCTTGCTTCGTTTCGCTTACTCTCGAATATTTAGTAATCACTGTCAGCAGCTGACTCCTTGCGGAATCGGAATAAAAATACTTTGGAAGCGGTATTGGCACAGTAGACTCTTTATAGAGTGTCGATTCTGGTTTAATTGTTCTTTCCGAAGTATAGCTGGACGAACTGCAACCATCCAGCCGAACGCAGACTTCTTCAATTAAACAGTGTAACATAAGAGCAATTGTAAAACATTCCGGAGGGAGCCGGTCGATCATCTTCCTATAGGTTGACAAACAAGAAATTATCAAGCGGGCGGGTTTCGGACCTAAATCCCACAATTTTATATGACGCATATACGTAGCAAATTGTCTGTGCACGTCAGGAAGTTGCTTAATAAATGTCGATATATCTTGGAAGCATTTGATGCTCTCCTTTTCGAATTTATACTCTTCATCGTTTGCGTTTGAAAGTAAAATTAGTAAATCATCAGCAACAAATCGCATATGAAAGGTATTGTTAAGGAAACTATAATGGTAATCGCTCTGAAATAAATTATCCATTTTGTTCCAAAAGAAACTTAAAGCTACTTCATAGCCGTTTCGGCTTGCGTTTTCAGTAATTGTAGAAGCAGGTTCACTGCTTGAAGTTATATTTTGCGAAATTATCGAATTTGTAATCGTTGAAGGCGTCCCAGATTTTACGTCGAGAGGTTGTGGTGCTGCTGTCTTTTCTTCTACGTAAAACTGAGGTGACCTTTCGAATTCTATTGTAATGTTCTGCGGTTTCTGGACTTCCTTATTTGCCTGTCCTATCTCTAGAACGGACGTTATAGGAATATCAAGCGATATTAGTGTTTGAATGAGATCGGGTTCAAGAAAACCAATTAATACAATAAATAAATGCTTATAAGGAACTTGAATTTTGTCTAATTGCAGCTTTGTTGGTTCTGGTTTCCTTTTCTTTAACTTCGATCCATACTTCGTTTCAAGCTTTGCCCACTTCAAACATGGATCTTCCACTACTTTACCGCCTTTCTTTCCCCCCTTTGCTTTCTTATCTTTTCCTTTTCCCTTTCCTTTATCTTTACCTTTCCCTTTGCCTTTGCCTTTTCCCTTATCGCCTGCATCTTCAACTAAAGCCAAACGACTGGCCGCTAGCTGTTGTATATGATAAATGTTACGTTTTTCTAACAATACGTCGGATTCCATTGTTCTAAGAATTTGAATTTTAATAAGTCGAGAAATAGCAGAAACTGAAATGGCTTCATTATTTTCAAGTGCACCTAAATAATTGAGGGCTGCAGCTCGAAATAACGATTCTGCAACAGAAATTGTTGCCACCGGACCTGTCACCTGACTTGCAGCTTTTTGAAGGTCTCTCGTTAAATCAGCAAAAGTTAAACACTTTACTTCGTTTCTATCATCGATAAGGGAACCGAAAGTAAATCGCTCCATTATGGGACTGTATTCACATGACTTTTCAGCACAAATAAGTACATCGCAAGTTCTGTTGTTCAAATAAGTACTAATTTCAATGGTGCTCAAAACAGCTTCCCAATTATTCCCTGCTTCACTGGCCATATTTTATTATCTAAATCTTGTACCTTGAATGGTATCCGCAGGCGTGTCAACGCATGACAGTTTTACAAACGTCAAATTTAATTGTACTGTATGTTTACACGTTTGAATATTTTTTATATTTTAATCATAATTGTATATTTCGTTATTTGTAGGTATATATGTTTATTTGTATATTTGTTTCTTTGTATATTTGTTTATTTGTATATTTATTTCTTTGTTTATTTGTATCAATTGTAACAGTTTAATAATATCATTTGTAATTTCAAGAATTTGCCTTCAGCAAAATTTCCAAATTATGTTCAATTCCTGCACTATTGTTGTGCAAATACCAAAGAAACGTGTATTATGTATTGTCTGTTTCGAAATCATTACCATTCGATATTTCCAGGGTTGGTAAAGTTCACCACCCTTACAATAGCTATACAGCTTGAACCAGTTATCGGCTGGCTCATTTTTATAGTGGGATGACAAGTTATATATTAAGAATTTTAGAAAATCGATTGCTTAGCATTCGGGAGGACGCCGGTTCGACTCCGGGTCCGTCTGCCTTGGTCCAAGTTTTTCTGTGGTTTCCTTGAATCACTTAGGCAAATGCTGAGGCAGTAATATTCCACAGATAATCTTTCACTCTCTTCTGTCTTCATTTCGTCCGTCTCAACTTTCTCACCCGAACCACCACCCCCACGATTCCTGAAAGCAAGCTGAAGAGGACCTTCCGCCCTACCTTCCGGCATAGTCCGGAGGGACTGCCCGCCCACCAGCATCACTAGCTGGTGGGAATGAAACACCCAAAAGTTTTAGTTTTTTTGAAAATCGATATAGAACATTATCATTATTCCAAAATAGAATATCATCAGAGAACATAATCAATCGACATTATCATTAATCAATCGACACAAATCAATTGCAATCATCGCCAACATTTAGATCTATTTAACATATTTTACCATCGTAACATGCATATAGGCGAGTTCTTCATAAACATTCAATTTAGTGTGCACTTGAAGCATTTTTAATATAGTTATTTTTATTTTCTGTGTGACCTTTCTTTACCATCGAGTGCACTGGTCCTTCTAGAAGTTTTTCTATGTGGTACAGCAGTACACCGACGATTGTAGTACTTTGTTTTTAAATCGTCACATCACGCAACACTATATTTACATAAAGTGAACAAAAAGGACAATATCAGCAGCAGTGTATAAAACAGAAACAATTTTTAACACCTGCAAAGGTTTTTAATCATTTAATGTATTTGTAATTTATACTAAATAAACTTCTTGTCAACAAGTATATCACGTAGTATTTATGATCCAGTTCAATTTTTTATATTAATGGTGAAATAATCAAAGACTCTGCCGCTTTGTGTGAACAAAATGTAGTTTTAGAAATGAGGCATTCAAGTCACGCTTCTTCTTTTATGACTCAACATTCTGTTTTACTTATGAACATATGCTACTTCAGTTGGCTTATATATCAGATCTGATTGAGCTATCCAAAAAAAAATTTAATATTGTTTGGGAGGGAAAACATTTAGAAAAGAGAAAGCAACGATATTTACATCCAATTTCTGCAAAGTTCCTTTGTTTTTTCCTTTCTTAACTTTTCTTTTTATTGCACCGTTCATTTTTATTGGGGTTAAGGCAAAATTCATATGCTACGTATTATCGTTCGCTTCAATTATGTAAATGGTTAATCGAAATAAAAATTCGGAACGGTTACGAAATCCTTTTAAAGTGCCAAATTTTTCTTTTAAAATTTAATTTGTATCAAATTCCCCAATACTCACCCCTTTGTTTATTTAAAACATACTTGTATATAAACCATTTAATTTTCAAAACAGCACAGTGTATCCATATATTTATTTATTTAACATTCTCTTAGTTATTTTACCATTTATAATCACATCTTTTATGGACTCCAGGGGCGCAGCAAACTTTTATTTGTATGGGTCTCAACGTTGTAGATTTTAAGTTCCACATATAACCCAGAACATCTCGAGTTTCGTAAAAATTACAATATAAAACTGCAAGTATGTAATATTACATAACTTAAAATGTTTATTAAATTTTGCGTTATATTAGAGGGAGCCAGAATTTTCAATGCCTTAATCTTGGCCCACGCGTGATATATAGGTCTGTTTTCGCATAGTTTTGTTATTTTTATTATAAGGTACTTATTATTATTTTCCTGGTCTTCTCAGTTTTCACTGGTAACTTTGAACAAGTGAAGATAGGCTAATGCAAAAGAACCTCACTCACATCTTTTGGGATATGGATTGGAATCCAATTTTCTTTTCTTAAATTTTATAGAGTTAACAGTACTTCTTGATCTGAAATATGTTATTAAAAACTCCGCTTCTTATTTAACCTGTTATGTTTTCTGAAAAGGGGGATATGTCAGTACTGTTAAGAAATCTGCGCACCATTCCGCATGTATCAATGATTACTGATTTCTGTAGACTTACGTACGTAAACTTATGCAGTTTCAACTCAGCTAGGCTAGTGTGTAATGTTTTAGGTATAACGCCTATTGATGATATTGTTATTGGAATAATTCGAACTGTGTTCTGATTCCACATTTCGTTTATTTCATCTGCTAAAGGAATATATTTTTGAATTTTCTCAATATGGTTTTATTTAAAATTTTCAGTGTTTGGTACAGCAACATCTAGAGTAGGTAACCTGTTTTAGTTTCTTTGATGGTCAGTGTGATATCAGGTCCGTTATGATTAACTGTTTTATCTGTAATTACGTCTCTATCCCAATAAAACTTGGCTAAGTGGTTTTCTAATACAATTTGTGGTTTGTATTTATAGTACGGCTCTATGAGTTTAAACAGCGAGTGTATCTGTTTAGCAACATTATTATGCCTGTCGAGGAATTGTCGGCTAGCTAAAAATGAGCAACCCCTAGTGATGTGGTCAATTGTTTCGGGAGATGTGTTGCATGCTCGGCATGTGTCTGATGAGATTGTGGGATTTTTAATAATATATTTTTCATAGTGTTTAGCAACATTATTATGCCTGTCGAGGTATTGTCGGCTAGCTAAAAATGAGCAACCCCCAGTGATGTGGTCAACTGTTTCGCGAGNCTTTTATTTTACTTTTACTTATTTACATATCAACTGACATCCGTCGGGTACTCTAATTTACGGTAATAAAACTACCCTAAGTCCTAAAACTCCGGAAAAATTCTTGTATTAAAACACGGCCACGTATTAGGCCATTCGGCTAAGGATTTATGACCATGGCGACTAGCCGCCATCAAAGCGACAAAGCTCCGGCATCGTTCACTGCGTCGGACCACGTTCTTAACAAATTTTTCATCGGAACGCTTCAATTGAATTGAAGTGTATAATTAAATGACGTTTTCCCTCGTGTTAATTGACAAAATTAAGTTGCATAAAAAGCGAATAGAAGATAAAAGGAAGTTTGGTAAAACGACCATTTTATGATGTTTGGAGATTGGTAATTATAGAACGCTTGCTTACAAGCAACCCCTTTGTACAATTTATGATTCAATTTCGAAGAGGTCGATTAGCCGAATAAAATTTATCGACAGATTTAAATTTTATGAGTGATTGCAAGAGCAATTGGTTTTATTAGGTAATTGAACGGGAAGTAAAGGAGTGAATACAACGAATGAAAGCAACGTAGACTTTAAAAAGGACACCCCTAGTAGACGCTATATTTCAAGTTGAGAGATGATGTTCGGTCGGATGACAACTTAGTACAACATTATTGAATTTTCTAACAAATGGTCCAAGTTCGAAAGTTGGCTAAAATTTCCCCATGACACATTTCCGTTCAGCTTTCTGGTCACGAAGCGGAGTATACGAACGAGATGAAAATTAAGAATCATTATTCTTTTCAGCTTTGTCGGCCCGTTCCTTAATACCTTACTCCTTCTTAAAACATTCGCAAAGGGGAATAAAAATGCATGGCGACAAGACGCAAGCGTCTCCGTCTTGTTATTGGGCATCGCATCTGCGACTCTCCCGTCGACCGGACTGGAATGCGAATGACTCCCCTACTTGTCCTCAGCCTCAGCCTCAGTTTCAACCTTCTTCCCACTTCCAGTACCTCCCGCCGCCACTTCTGCCTCGTGCTCTTATTGCTCTTCTTTCTTTTTTATCCTTTTTTCTATTTCTTTCTCTTTTTTTCAATTTTTTTTGTAACTTGCGGCTTTTCTTGCAACTTCTCGTGAAACAAGTCTTATTCATTTTATTAGAAAATATATGCTTCTCTTCATTGTATTTGTTGTAATAAGCAATTTATATATATATATACGTATTCAATCGAATAAAATCTCAATTATATCAGAAGATAAACAAAAATTGTCATTCTGAGCTATGGATTCCTGAATAACTCCTGTGGACTGATATATGTATATTCAATACACCGTCGCCAAAACCATTCGACAAATTAGTACTATTTCTTTGAATGTACACATTTTTTTTGCATTTCTACCTTGTATTCTATTGAAGATCTTCTCGTATTCTGCTTTTAGTAATTGTGCTAAATACATAAAATAATTCAAATCGATCACTACTAAATTTTTAACAGCTGTCCAATTAAAATTTTTTTTAAATTTACTTTTTTTTTAATAGCTCATAGTTATTTCTTTTTT